TTGGTTGCCTCCTGCACACGTCCTGACCAGGGCCGGGGATTGAGCTTGCAACCAAGAGACATGCCCTTGACTGGAATCAAACCCGGCACCCTTTAGTCTGTAGGCCAATGCTATATCCACTGAGCCAAACTGGCCAGAGCTATCACTTTCTCTTAATGTATTTTTCATTATTGAAATTTCTTTTGTATTCTCTTTGCTAATATATTATGAATCCTATACCTATTCTTCATGGCTATTCTCATTGCAAATTTCTTTTTTTCATGCACTGCCAAGAAGTACAGTAAGAGCTTTGTGAATAGAGAAATACTTATTTTTCTGTTTTTCACACTTAATTTATTCCCCTGTCCTCTTTTCCTAAAGAAGCTTTGGGCATTTTTCTCTATCTCTCCTACTCAAGATAGTGAAAGCTCTAATATACTGTATTGCTAGACCTGTTTTTAAAATGTGTTCTAGGCTTAGGATGTCAAAATCTAGTATATCTTCTGTGGTCTCTTCTTCTAGGCAAAGTGGTTCAAACCACAAATGACCTAATAAGTAAAAGTAGTCATGTAGCAATAGTAGAGGACATTTTATTTCATTGAGCAGATCTGTATCTCCCTTGATGGGGATGTTTTTCAGCTAAGTCATTTTCCAGGGAAGTGTGCATTTAATGACCAAAGAGGTCAGGTGCATCTTCATGTATCGGGAGATGGTATTTTAATTGAAAGGGACTGGTTGGCCTGTCTTTACTATGCATTTAACAATTAGGTTGAATCAATTGAAATGAATTCAAATTGGTAAGAGATGTTTGCCAGTTTATATGCTTTCATGATTTTTTTTGGTATGTGTGTATAGATAATAGCCTTTAACTTGCAGAGAGCTAAAGAGAAATGATTGAATTACAAAAGCTTTTTTTTTTTTTTTTTTAAATGAAGCAACTGAAGCTTTTTGTTTTTGTGCTAGAACAAGGACTTAAAAGGAATACTTAACCAATAAATGGAATGTTGTGTATTTTTCTATTTATTAGTGTTTGATTGATCTCTGAAGAAAATGCATCCCAAACTACATAATGATCATTTTGTTTTCTATTATGTTGTTATTATTCTATTTATATTTTGAGGAGCTCAAAGTGAGCACAGGATTTTGTACTGTTGATCAAATTACTTCATAGCAAGAGGCATCTTTCAGTAACTGTATGACGCTGAAGCTCTAATTTTTTTCTCTGTTCATCAAATCTTAATTTAAACATCCCTTTAGACTAGGGGTGTCGAACTCAATCAGAGAAGGGGCCAAAATCTAAAATCCAGCCTAAATCGCGGGCCGAATGGTTTACTGAACAGTCATAAACTGTCATTGTGATGGAAACGCAGCGGAGTGCAGTGATGACAGCGCGGTGCGGGCCACATTGCAAGGCCTGGCGGGACGGATTTGGCCCGCGGGCCTTGTGTTTGACACATGTGCTTTAGACCTATCTTTCCTATAAATAAAAGAACATTTCATGATTTTTAGTCCCTATAAATCCATACACTCTGAGGAACAGAGTAATTATTATCCCTTTAAAAAAGGATTTTTTTAAACTTTTAAACTTTTATTTGTCTTCTTTTGATAGAAGACTTTTCTGGTGAGATTGGTCAATGATAATAATGAATGTGATTTTTTTTGATAGTGTAAATGAAACATGTTAACATTTGGAAGATCTGCATAATTCAGTGAATCAGTATTTTCTAAGTAATCAATGCTTGACGGTAAAAAATCATAAAGAGCAAAAGATCCTTTTAAAGTCTACATGAATTAAGTCAGACAGAGAAAGACAAACATATGATTTCACTTATATGAAAAAAGCCAAAGTAAACTTAGAAACATAGAGAACAAACTGATGGATGGGGGAATGGGTGAAAAAAAAAAAAAAAAAAAGAGATTAAGAAGTACAAATTGCCAGCTATAAAAACAGTCAGGGGAATGTGAAGTACAGCATAGGGAATATATAGTCAATAATATTGTAATAACTATGTATGGTGTCAGATAGGTACTAGATTTGTCGGGTTGATCACTTTGGAAGTTATGTAAATGCCTAATCACTATGTTGTACAACTGAAACTAATACAATATTGTATGTCAACTCTAATTGAAAATTTTAAAAGTGCAGGATAGACAAATGGAATTTAATGTAAGACATGAAATGTTTATTAATATACCTTCAGATTTCACATTGCAGCTAACCTTTAAGAAACTACTACTATTGAGTTTTGGTATAGTATCAAATAAGAATATCCAGAATTATTTGAAAAGCTATTAAAAATACCTCTCTCTTTCAATGTACAGTTGAGTGAAGCTGGATTTTCTTTATATACTTCAGCCAAAACAACATATTGCAACATTGAATTTTGTAAAAGCATATAGGGAAGTCCTGCTTTTTAAAAAGCCAGACACAGAGATTTGCAAGAATATAAAACAATGTCATGCTTCTCACTATTTTTTCAGGAAATATATTTATTTCATTTAAGTGTTTTTATATTAATATGTAGTAGCATTGTTTTTTTAAATGAATTAATAAAAAAATTTTAATTTCTCAGTTTTCATTTTACTATAGTAAATTTAATTACATAATTCATATATACAGAAACCAGGATCCTTAATACTAATTTTTAAGAGTGTCAAAAGTACCTGAGACCAAACTGTGTAAGAACACCTGGTGTAGTGCTTAAAGAGGAACATGGAGTCAAATTGCTTGTCAGAAACTCAGCTTTATTGTTTGCTAGCTCTGTGACCTTGGATAAGATATTGAACTACTTTTTGCCGCACTTTCCTCATCTATAAAATGACATAATGATATGTAGAGGTGTGGCAGGTATTCTTCCATGTTTGTTTTCTCTAATCACCCAGCCCCAACTTCGAAGTTCATGCCTTCAATCTCTCCTTGTTGTTATCTATAGACCTTTTGGAAGACTTAAAGCACATGGCTTGTTGTTCTCTGCATTCTTGTGCTTGTCGTAGTTTCAGATGATTTAATGTTCATATAAATAACACTTTCAACACCCTGGCCTCTCAGTCAGTCCCTGACTTCTTTTCCTTCAGTGATCTTGTCCTCCTCTCTACCTTAGCCAGGTGCACTCTTAGCCAGATCTTGTTAATACCAGTTATAGATCACCTCCATCAACTCAGTTTCAAATGTCTCATTCTCTGACCATACCTCCTGTCTTTCCAATTCATTCTTTTTAGTATATCAAATCCAACTTTTTTTTTTTTAAGTTCACCAGGAATATAGGTCCTACCACCCTTTCACTAACTCTCACTTCCATTATGAACTTACTTGGCTTTTTCCTGACTTAAAGTGCATGGTTCATAATTACAATAATTGTTTTGCAAACTTTCTAAGATCTCTTGCCCGTCTTTCTGTCTATTCTACTTGTCTGGCAAAATCTCAACCTTTGTTAAACTCAAATTCCTCCCATTGCACATTGCACCCAGACAGTGGAATTTATGCTAAATGGTCACACTTAATAATCATGCTTCCAACCTCAGTGGAGCTTTTAGCGCTATGTGGAATTCCTCTTAATTTCCTCAGTCCATTTATTTTTCTGAATGATTCTTCTAAATGACTATTTCACACTTCTCAAACTTTTAATATCCATCCTTCTTTCTCAGTCTCAGCTGATAACCTTCCTTCCTACTTCAGGAGATAATATCAGCTCTCCGAAGAGAACCACCACAAGCTCCTCTCACCACATGGAATGGTCTGCCTGTATTCCTACTCATCTAGTTTGACTTTTCTCCTTTTCCTTTGGGTGGATTCTCTGCTTATTTCCAAGGCCAACACTCTAAGAGATTCCATAATTAGCTCCACATTTACTGTGTTCTCTCCTGGGATTCTGCTTCCCCACCTTACATCATCTCGTTTACCCCCTCTCGACACCGACGTTCCATTAGGCTACAAATATTCGTGCAAAACTTTCCCTTGAACCCCAACTCCCCTCTAGTTACCAGACTGAATTGTCAGTGTAGCTGTCCGCTATTGCATTCTGCCCATTCTCTGTTAAACCCTAGCAATCAAGCTCTACTTCACCAAGTAACACTTGTTGAGGACAGGATTGACCTGAGTGTCGCGAGACCCAGCAGTCAGTTCTCAGGTCTCGTCTTACTTCTCAACAACATTTGACACAGTCTGGATGCTTCTTTCTCTTGAAGAACTTCCTTCATTAGGCTTCTGGGATACATGCTCTGTTTTTCTGAGTAGCATTTATCAACATCTGACATATTTCCTTATTTGTTTATTTTGGCAACTAAAATGTAAGCTCCTTGAGAGCAAGGGTTTGGCTTGTTCTCATGTCTGCCAAGAACAGTGGTGCATACATAATAGGCACTTGGTAAATAGTTGTTGAATGAATGAAAGTGAGCTTAAAAATAGTGTATACTTATCAGCTTTTCCCTCATTTCTAGCTCCTTTCCTGGTCATAAACTCTCATAGCCATTTTCTTCCTCTTTTTTTCTCGGAATCTTACATTTCCTAATTGTATCTCTACTCCATTCCTATCTTTTTCAGGCTGAACCATCACCATTATGCTTATATTTCTGCGGGGTTCTAGTGTTTACAGAACATTTATTTATATTTGGTATCACAGATGGTGTGTGGATCTGAATTGGTGCCATTAGCATATAATGCTGAATTTAGGTGCAGATTAAAAAAATTATAAATGAGTAAGAAACAAATTAAGTCTTCCAAAGCTAAAATTATATCTTCTAGGATATTTAGGTTTATTGTTTATTACTAGCCTGCTTTACACTTTACTGTTTCTGGCTACTCATGATGGAATTTCTCTTGATTTTCTGTGAGGATTTTTAGAAGGCAGGAGAAATTGCCAAGCTGAAAAGCGTTTTCTAACTTCAGCTCTGAGTTTATCACTAAGAGTAGTATGCTTCTCTTAACATTTCATCATTCTTCCCCTATATATTGATGTGCTACTGTATGCTGGATTGGTATGAAAATTCATTTTTAACTGGCCTTTTATTTATGGCTTCTACAGAACCTTGCCTCCTGGAATCCTTCAAATCCCGAATGCCTCTTACTTGTGGTGAAGGAACTTGTGCAGCAGTATCACCAATTTCAATGCAGCCGTCTCCGTGAGAGCTCCCGCCTCATGTTCGAATACCAGACATTGCTGGAAGAGCCACAGTATGGAGAGAACATGGAAATTTATGCTGGGAAAAAAAATAACTGGGTAAGGTTTTTGGGAATGGGGAAAAATATAAATCTGTAATAACATAAAATATCAATTCAGATATCTATATACTACGTATATAAAAGCCAAGTGACCAGAATAACTGGTCACCGTGACACGCACTGCTGATGGCCAACCGGCTTGATGATGGTGGGGCAGGCTGGCCAACCTTCCTCCTGGCCAGCCCTGATTGGCCCCAATTAGGGTAGGCTGGCTGGACCCCACCCGCGCACAAATTCATCTACAATAGTTATAATAAACCCTAGCCATTTCTTTAGATAGACATGGTTCAGATTGTTTACTTAAGTTCTCATAATTTAGAATTTAAAGGGACCTTGATTATCTGATTCATTGTTTCTCAGAGTTATCACCTGGGAAATTTGTGAAATTGAGAGTCTCACATTCCCAGTCCCAAGTATTCAGAAACAAGGTTTTGATGCAGGTGGTTCATAGGCCACATTTTGAGACACTGGCAAATTTCCCTTCCTTCCTTCCTTCCTTCCTTCCTTCCTTCCTTCCTTCCTTCCTTCCTTCCTTCCTTCTTTCCTTCCTTCCTTCCTTCCTTCCTTCCTTCCTTCCTTCTTTCCTTCCTTCCTTCCTTCGTTCTTTCCTTCCTTCCTTCCTTCGTTCTTTCCTTCCTTCCTTTCTTCCTTCCTTCCTTCCCTCCTTCCACATCTTTATTTTTGAAAGGATTACATATGACCCTTTCCCCCACTCCATTTACTCTTCCAGGCCATGTCCCCCACCCCAGGCCTTCACCACCTTATTGTCTGTGTCCAGATCTCCTTTAGTATCCCAGTCAGATATGAGAGGTTAACTCTGGAGATAGCTAGTTTTTATGGGTCTTTTTATAATTTCTTTTTATAGTTTATGTTATATGATCCTTTCTTTAAAAAAATATTTTTATTGATTTCAGAGAGAGGGAGAGGGAGAGAGAGAAAAAAATGTCAGTGATGAGAGAGAATCATTGCTTGGTTGCCTTCTGCACACACCCTACTGGAGATCAAGCTTGCATGTGCCCTGACCAGGAATTGAACCATGACCTCCTGGTTCATGGGTTGACACTTAACCACTGAACAACACTGGCCACGCTTGTATAATCCTTTTGAAATGCAAGTCAGATCATATCATTCCTCAGCCTAGAACTTTCATACTGGTATAACTTTCTTTGTCTCTCATGTTAAAAGCTAGTGGCATAGAATGTTCTACATGATTTCTATCACCACCATTCTTTATTCATCATTAATTCCCTCATTTCATCTCCTACCTTCCTATTAAAAATATTCAGCTCTAGCCACATCTTTGCTGAGCTGCAGACACACCAGGTTGTTTATGCTGTAGGCTTTGTATATATAGCTTTCCTGTTGTATGTGTAGTTCCTCTAAAAATTATGCCTAATACCCTTCCTTATAGTTTTTACTCATTTGTCATAGTCTCAGCCATGCCTGTGTTAACATGCATGGTTTTATTAAGTAACTTTTTTTGAGATATAATTTATATACCACAAATTTACTTGTATTAAGTGTACAATGCAATGATTTTTAACACATTTGCTGAGTTGAACAACCACAAACACAATCCAGTTTTTTTTAATGATTTCATCACCCTGTAAGGTTTCTCATGCCATTTACAGCTAATCCTATCCCTAACTCCAGACCTGGGTAACCACTAAACTAGTTTCTACTGTATAGATGTTCTTTCTTGAACATTCATATAATCAAATCATATAATATGTAGTTTTTATAACTGGCTTCTTTCTTTTAATACCTTGTGGTTCATCCATGTTGTAGCATGTCTTAGCATTTCGTTTCTTTTTGTGGTTGACTAATACTCCATTGAATAGACATGCCACATTTTGTTTATCCATTCACCAACCGATGGACATTTGGGTTTTAATGTTTTAACTGTTAAGAATAATGCTGTAAACATTCACTTGCAAGTCTTTGTAACACCTCTTTTTAAAAGAGTAATTTGTACCCCTTCACCTGTACCCTGCTCTACATTTTTGCATCTCTTTTTAACATACCATATAATTAATATGTTGTATTAGTTATATGTTGCTGCATTAGATAATTGTTCTTGAAACTAGTGGTTTAAAACAATTTTTATTTTTATTTTTTGCATGTTAGTATTTTATTATTTATTATTATTTTAAAATTTATTCTTATTGTTCAAAGCATTATAGATGTCCCCCTTTTCCTACCAGTGAACCCCCCTTCCTGCCACACCTTCACTGCATTGTTGTCTATGTCCATGGGTATGCATATAAATTCTTCTGTTAATCTCTGCCTGCCCCTCCCACTTCCCTCTGGGATAAAACAACATTGATTATCATAGTTTTTGTTTGTCAGTAGACTATGTAGACTCTCTGCTTAGTCTCTCATAAACTGCACTCAAGGTATTGGCCAGGGCTGCAGTCATTTTAGGACTCACCTGGAGATTAATCCATTCTCAGCTCATTCATGAGGCTTTTGGTACCATTCAGTTCAGAGCTGGCTGTTGGCTGGAGGCTGCCTCAGCTCCTTGCCTCTTCTCAGGGCCTCTCCCCAGGGCAGCTAGTTTCATCAGAGCAGTCAGTCAGTCAGTCAGTTAGTCAGGAAAGCGAGAGTGTGGGCAAGACAGAGTCACTTTCTTTCTAACCTAATCTCAGAAGAGACATCTCATCATCTTTGCTGTATTCTGTTTGTTAAGTCCAGTCTACATACATGGAGGAATGACATAAGAGTGCGACTGCCAGGGACTATTGGAAGCCACCTAGAAGCAGCCTACACACTTACTTACGTTTATTGCTTGTCTGTCTCTTACACTGGGATATGAATTCCATGGAGGCAGGGATCCTGGTTCTGTTCGTCCTATATCAGAAACACCCAGAACAGTGCCTGCCACATTGTTTACTCTCTGTCAACATTAGTTGAATAAGTACGTTAATAAACTCTGTAGTCTAATTAAGCACAGAATAAGTTTAGGTTCCCTTCTCAGTGCTAATTCTTTTAGGTTTCACTTAGTCTTCCTTTACTGAGGTTAAATATGCCTCCTCTGTCTTATTCTTCATTTTTTTTGTTGTTTTTTAAAAATATATTTTATTGATTTTTTACAGAGAGGAAGGGAGAGAGATAGAGAGCTGGAAACATCAATGAGAGAGAAACATCAACCAGCTGCCTCTTGCACACCCCCTACCGGGGATGTGCCCCGCAACCAACGTACATGCCCTTGACCGGAATCGAACCTGAGACCTTTCAGTCCGCAGACCGACGCTCTACCACTGAGCCAAACCGGTTTTGGCTTATTCTTCACTTTTTTCTTAAATGGACATAGTTTCCAAGGTCTTATATACATGATTAATGCCTTTGAACTATTAGGATTAAAATTTATTCTTGTTACAAATCATCTTGTTTATTCAGTTCAAGGTGGTTTTTAAAATTTTTCTTTTTTTTTAAATATAGTTTATTTTATTATGGTAAAAGATATATAAAATTAAATTTACCCTCTTAACTGTTTAGTACATCAAAACTGTAAGTTTGTACCTCTTAATTGCTTTTATCTTTTTGCCCAGTCCTCCTCTGCCCAATGCTCTGGCAGCTATCAGTTCTCTGTTAGGAGTCTGTTTTCTTTGTTCATTTGTTTAGTTTTTTAGAGTCCACATATAAGTGAAATGGTAGAGTATTTGTCTTTCTCTGACTTATTTTACTTAGCATAAGTAAGTCCATATTCTAGATCAATCTGTATTATTGAAAATGGCAAGATTTTATTCATTTTCATGACTTCAAAATAATCCAGTGTTTTGTGTGTGTGTGTGTGTGTGTGTGTGTGTGTGTGTGTATACATAACCATTTCTCTGTCCATTCATCTATCATTGGATACCTAGTTGGCTTCCATATATTGGTTATTGTAAATAATGTTGCATTGAATATAGAGTTGTATATATCTTTTTGAATTCATGTTTCACTTTCTTTGGATAAGCACCCAGAAGTGGAATTTCTAGGTCCTTCTTTGTCTTTTGTTATAACCTTTGTTTGAAAGTTTATTTTGCCTATAAGTATTACTATTCCAGCTTTTAAAAAGTTTTCATTTTCATGAAATATCTTTTTCCATCCATTAATTTTCAGTCAATGTGTATCTTTTGTTCTGAAATGAGTCTCATGCGGGTAGAATATATAATGGTCTTTTTGTTGTTTTTAATCTATTCAGCCATCCTATCTATGTCTTTTGAATGGAGAATTTAGTCCATTTACATCTAAAGTATTTGTGGAGCCTTCCTGGCATGGCGCAGTGGTTGATGCTGACCTATGAACCAGGATATCACGGTTTGATTCTCAGTCAGGGTACATGCCCAGATTGTAGGTTCAATTCCCAGAGAAGGGGCATGCAGGAGGCAGACAATGATTTTTCTCTCATCATTGATGTTTCTATTTCTTCCTCTCCCTTTCTCTCTGAAATCAATTAAAATATTAAAAAAGTATTTGTTGATAGGTATGTACTTACTGCCATTTTTATTGTTTTCATACTAGTTTTATAAATGGTTAGTCTACTACTTTTTTGATATGCTTGCCTTTACTAATGAGAGTTTTTCTTTCATATATTTTCTTATTTCTAGTTTTACCTTTTCCACTTAAAGAATTTCCTTTTGAAAAGAAATTTATTTTTATTGACTTCAGAGAGGAAGGGAGAGGGATAGAGAAACACTGAAGAGAGAAGAATATCATCGATTTCCTGACTCCTGTAGGCCCCCTATTGGGGATTGAGCCTATAACCCAGGCATGTGCCCTGACTAGAATCGAACTGTGACCTCTTGGTTCATAGGTCAATGCTCAACCACTGAGTCAACCACTGAGTCACATCAGCTGGGCATAACATTTCTTTCTTTCTTTTTTTTTTTTTTTAAATATATTTTATTGATTTTGTACAGAGAGGAAGGGAGAGAGATAGAGAGCCAGAAACATCAATGAGAGAGAGTCATCGATCAGCTGCCTCTTGCACACCCCCTACTGGGGATATGCCCG